CTTCAGGTAATTCTGTCCCCTCCAGTTAATTCTGTCCCGGCCCTGGTTTTGCACGCATAAGTTGTTATATTGATGTTATTATAATGAATTCAGCGCACAGGCTATACATTTTTAGATTTTTCCACCCTTCCTCAATAATTATCAAAATGAAATTAACGTTTAGATGTTAATCAACCGATCTATGCTTCTGCAAGAAGGCACGCGTAGTAATACTCAACCTATCGCTAGCACGCCCTCGCGCATCAGCCGCCGATATGCGTGTGACTGTCATGGCGGACTTCAATGAGGAGAATTGGCAAAATTATACGCGACACGGGTCACCGCGCCGCAGGCCTGCTGCTGGTGCACTGTTGTCCCCGTCCCCGGCCGCGGCCCTGGCGCGGCCCGTAGGTGCGGTACACTCGCGCGCACGCCCACCATGCAAATCGTTCGCTCCCGAAGTCGTCATCAAAACTTTTTTTTTTTTTTTTTTTTTTTTTTTTTTTCGTATTGCTACAAACATAAGGTCTATAGCTGTCCCTAGGCGTACCTCACGATACGTCAGACGATCAGACGATCCTCGTGGAGAAAGGGGGTTTAAACCGCTCGGAAAGTGCCTTTAAATGAGCTTGACGACAGTTATAAAGATCCAATCATTGCCAAGCTCAGCACGAGGGGATACAAATGTTTACAGACACAAAGATGGCAACAAGTAAAACGACAGAACGAACGAAAATCTTTTTTGCCTGGAATTGAATTATTTATTTTAGTTGAAGGTATTATATGATTATCAGAGCTATAAGTATAACTTCCATTAGATTTTTTTTATTGATTTATTTATTTATTTATTTTTTTTTTTTTTTTTATTTTATTTTTTTTTTTTTTAATTATATTTTTTATTTTTTATTTTTTTTATTATTATTTTGTTTTATTTTTTTAAAGGAAATTGGGGAAGACTAATCAGCATGGCTAGGAGGATATTTTTTATAAGGAACATTGGGGAAAACTAACCAGCATGGCTAAGAGGATATTTTTTAAAAGGAAAAATGGGGAAGACTAACCAGCATGGCTAGGAGAATATTATTTAGAAGGAAAATTGGGGAAGACTAACCAGCATGGCTAGGAGGATATTTTTTAGAAGGAAAATTGGGGAAGACTAACCAGCATGGCTAGGAGGATATTTTTTAGAAGGAAAAATGGGGAAGACTAACCAGCATGGCTAGGAGGATATTTTTTAGAAGGAAACATGGGGAAGACTAGCCGGCATGGCTAGGAGGATATTTTTAAAAAAGCAAAGTTGGGAAGACTAACCAGCATGGCTCGGGGGGTACTTTTTAGAAAGAAAATTGGCACAGCTAGTAGCCTAGCATGAATAGTGAACGAAGTTTACGTGAGGCCGTACAAACGCAGCGTGGAAAATTTCAAGGATTGTAAGGAACGGATCATTAAAACATACACCGGAAAGTGAAGTAGTTTATAGGTTAGTATAAGTAGTAAGGAATGCCGGCATGTAAAAGCTCTTACCAGTCTGTTTTGGTAAATTTGACAAGAAACCAGAAATTTGTCTAAAAAGCGAGACTCATCAGGTACAGTTCGCTAGACCTTGGGTAGGTTTCGTCTCGAGACTGTACGACCTACCCCGTAAGAACTTTTACGTGTTGATGTTATATAAGTTATACTTATAGCTCTAATAATCATATAATACCTTCAACTAAAATAAATAATTCAATTCCAGGCAAAAAAGATTTTCGTTCGTTCTGTCGTTTTACTTGTTGCCATCTTTGTGTCTGTAAACATTTGTATCCCCTCGTGCTGAGCTTGGCAATGATTGGATCTTTATAACTGGTCGTCAAGCTCATTTAAAGGCACTTTCCGAGCGGTTTAAACCCCCTTTCTCCACGAGGATCGTCTGATCGTCTGACGTATCGTGAGGTACGCCTAGAGACAGCTATAGACCTTATGTTTGTAGCAAAACGAAAACCCAATTTTCCTTCTAAAAAATATCCTCCTAGCCATGCTGGTTAGTCTTCCCCATTTTTCCTTCTAAAAAATATCCTCCTAGCCATGCTGGTTAGTCTTCCCCAATGTTCCTTTTAAAAAATATCCTCCTAGCCATGCTGGTTAGTTTTCCCCAATGTTCCTTATAAAAAATATCCTCCTAGCCATGCTGATTAGTCTTCCCCAATTTCCTTTTAAAAAAAATTAAAACAAAATAATAATAATAAAAAAAAAAAATCAATAAAAAAATAAAAAAATAAAAAATAAAAAATATAATTTAAACCCCCTTTTTTTTTTTTCTTTTTTTTTTTTTTCGTATTGCTACAAACATAAGGTCTATAGCTGTCCCTAGGCGTACCTCACGATACGCTTTGTATTGCTACAAACATAAGGTCTATAGCTGTCCCTAGGCGTACCTCACGATACGTCAGACGATCAGACGATCCTCGTGGAGAAAGGGGGTTTAAACCGCTCGGAAAGTGCCTTTAAATGAGCTTGACGACAGTTATAAAGATCCAATCATTGCCAAGCTCAGCACGAGGGGATACAAATGTTTACAGACACAAAGATGGCAACAAGTAAAACGACAGAACGAACGAAAATCTTTTTTGCCTGGAATTGAATTATTTATTTTAGTTGAAGGTATTATATGATTATCAGAGCTATAAGTATAACTTCCATTAGATTTTTTTTATTGATTTATTTATTTATTTATTTATTTATTTATTTTTTATTTTTTTATTTTTTTATTGATTTTTTTTTTTTTTTTTATTATTATTTTGTTTTAATTTGTTTTTAAAGGAAATTGGGGAAGACTAATCAGCATGGCTAGGAGGATATTTTTTATAAGGAACATTGGGGAAAACTAACCAGCATGGCTAGGAGGATATTTTTTAAAAGGAAAAATGGGGAAGATTAACCAGCATGGCTAGGAGGATATTTTTTAGAAGGAAAATTGGGGAAGACTAACCAGCATGGCTAGGAGGATATTTTTTAGAAGGAACATTGGGGAAGACTAACCAGCATGGCTAGGAGGATATTTTTTAGAAGGAAAAATGGGGAAGACTAACCAGCATGGCTAGGAGGATATTTTTTAGAAGGAAAAATGGGGAAGACAAACCAGCATGGCTAGGAGGATATTTTTTAGAAGGAAAATTGGGGAAGACTAACCAGCATGGCTAGGAGGATATTTTTTAGAAGGAAAATGGGGAAGACTAGCCTGCATGGCTAGGAGGATATTTTTAAAAAAGCAAAGTTGGGAAGACTATCCAGCATGGCTCGGGGGGTACTTTTTAGAAAGAAAATTGGCACAGCTAGTAGCCTAGCATGAATAGTAAAGGAAGTTTACGTTAGGCCGTACAAACGCAGCGTGGAAAATTTCAAGGATTGTAAGGAACGGATCATTAAAACATACACCGGAAAGTGAAGTAGTTTATAGGTTAGTATAAGTAGTAAGGAATGCCGGCATGTAAAAGCTCTTACCAGTCTGTTTTGGTAAATTTGACAAGAAACCAGAAAATTGTCTAAAAAGCGAGACTCATCAGGTACAGTTCGCTAGACCTTGGGTAGGTTTCGTCTCAATAAAAAAAATCTAATGGAAGTTATACTTATAGCTCTGATAATCATATAATACCTTCAACTAAAATAAATAATTCAATTCCAGGCAAAAAAGATTTTCGTTCGTTCTGTCGTTTTACTTGTTGCCATCTTTGTGTCTGTAAACATTTGTATCCCCTCGTGCTGAGCTTGGCAATGATTGGATCTTTATAACTGTCGTCAAGCTCATTTAAAGGCACTTTCCGAGCGGTTTAAACCCCCTTTCTCCACGAGGATCGTCTGATCGTCTGACGTATCGTGAGGTAATTAGGGACAGCTATAGACCTTATGTTTGTAGCAATACGAAAACGTACAGTCTCGAGACGAAACCTACCCAAGGTCTAGCGAACTGTACCTGATGAGTCTCGCTTTTTAGACAAATTTCTGGTTTCTTGTCAAATTTACCAAAACAGACTGGTAAGAGCTTTTACATGCCGGCATTCCTTACTACTTATACTAACCTATAAACTACTTCACTTTCGGTGTATGTTTTAATGATCCGTTCCTTACAATCCTTGAAATTTTCCACGCTGCGTTTGTACGGCCTCACGTAAACTTCGTTCACTATTCATGCTAGGCTACTAGCTGTGCCAATTTTCTTTCTAAAAAGTACCCTCCGAGCCATGCTGGTTAGTCTTCCCAACTTTGCTTTTTTAAAAATATCCTCCTAGCCATGCCGGCTAGTCTTCCCAATGTTTCCTTCTAAAAAATATCCTCCTAGCCATGCTGGTTAGTCTTCCCCATTTTTCCTTCTAAAAAATATCCTCCTAGCCATGCTGGTTAGTCTTCCCCAATTTTCCTTCTAAAAAATATCCTCCTAGCCATGCTGGTTAGTCTTCCCCAATTTTCCTTCTAAATAATATCCTCCTAGCCATGCTGGTTAGTCTTCCCCATTTTTCCTTTTAAAAAATATCCTCTTAGCCATGCTGGTTAGTTTTCCCCAATGTTCCTTATAAAAAAATATCCTCCTAGCCATGCTGATTAGTCTTCCCCAATTTCCTTTAAAAAATTAAAACAAAATAATAATAAAAAAAATAAAAAAAATATAATTAAAAAAAAAATAAATAAATAAATAAATAAATAAATAAATAAATAAATAAATAAATAAATAAATAAATAAATAAATAAATAAATAAATAAATAAATAAATAAATAAATAAATAAATAAATAAATAAATAAATAAATAAATAAATAAATAAATAAATAAATATCGCGGAAGACGCAAGACACGTTTCACATCGCTCTCGCAGATTTGACTTCTTTCAACCGAATACCGATCGATTTTCGTCATCATAGCGAGTATATTGTTCTTCCCTGTGAGTATAGATATTAAATAAGACATTTCTGGGAGTTCCAAGGAGGTGTGAGGGCTTTAGCCCGTGGTTCTCCCAACTTTCAGTATTCTACGTTGAGAGGTGGTCGCCATTTTGGACGGGCCATCATGTATAGATCGGGGCGACCCCAGCTACGACGCCCTAACACGGTGCGTTTTAATACAAGAGGAATAGAAGACATCGTCACGCCTGAAGAAGTCTACGAAGCTGTAAAGAAGGAATTGAAAAGCAAAGACACAATGAAGTGCATAGCAGAACTCAATAACAAATGGTACAATGTTACGTTGGACAACGAAGCTGATTGTGAAAGACTAGCGAACTATGGACTGGTATTGAATGGGTTGCTGGTGCAATGCGAGAGGGCAAGCATAGCTAATTCAGTAGTTGCGTACGTAAAAGCACCCTACGAACTCAGCGACCAGGCGGTCATTTCGGCTCTGTCTGCTTATGGGTCAGTGGTGAACATAAAAAGACAATATCATGACTTCGACAGTAATGTAGAAACAGGAGTGCGGAGCTGTTTGATCAAGAATCTAATGAAACCAATCCCCAGCTACATCAGACTTGGAAGTTTCACCCTGCCAATACGACATAAGGGACAGCTCAAAACATGTAAGATCTGCGAGGCAACGGACCACTTCGCCCGAGACTGTCCGGCCCGGGGGAGGTGCTACGTCTGCGGCGCATACGGGCATAGAGCTTCGGCACATCATGATGAAAACAGTCGCAAAGATAGATTGGAAGTAGAATCAGATGAAGAATCACGAGTAAATACTCCCGTCCTAGCAATCCCTGGCGGAAGTCAAGACGACCGAGATTCGACGACACACTACGACACTGAAGACTCCATCTTCGATGAAACCCAAATCGAACCGCTAACTCTAACCAAGAAATACAACCTGCCAACCTACCGCTTCAAGGATGGGAAAAAATATTGCAAAAAGAGAAAAAACCAAGACACGGAAGAGGAAAATGTGGGGGAAAGCTACAGGAAAATAACCAGAGAAGAAGAGGAAGAGATGGAGCAATCCAATCAACAAGAACCACAGACCCATGGGCAGACTAGCCGACAAGACACCCAGCAGACAGCACCGCAGATCGCACAGCAGACCGAACAGCAGACCGAACAGCAGACCGAACAGCAGACCCCACCCAAGACCACATCGCAGACCACACTGCAGACCACACCGCAGAGTACACCGGAGATAGCATCACAGATCGCACCACAGACAGCACTGCAGACCACATCGCAGATCATACAACAGACGGCACCGCAGACAGCATCACAGATCGCACCGCAGACCATACAGCAGACTGCAACGCAGACAGCATCACAGATCGTACCGCAGACCACACCGCAGACCGCCCCTCGGACTGCACCGCAGACCGCACCGGAGACCGCACCGCAGACCGCATCGCAGACTGCACCGCAGACCGAACAGCAGACTGCACTGCAGATTGCACCGCAGATTGCATCGCAGATCGCAACGCAGATCACACAGCAGACAGTTCTGCATACTATACCGGAGACCCCACTGATGACTACAACGCAGGCTGAACCACAAACTGTATCTCAAAACGCACCTCGGTTAGCACCGCAGACCAGCCAACAAACCATAAAGCAGATACAGAGTGGGCAGAACGCATCACAAGACATTATTCCGTCATCACAACCTACAGACAACGAAGATGAAGATTTTGTTAGGTATATGAGAGGGGGCGTGGAGAGACTCCGCAAGAAAAGAACAAGCTGGGAAAGGAAGGAAAAGGACCAGAAGGCATCGCCTAGTCGAGGGCCGAGAGGACGAGGGAAGGGTAAAGCAACACAATCTTGAATTCTTGAGGGTTTCATATGTTTTTGCTTGTACTGTAAATCATATTCCGTTTTCTCCTGCTTTGTTTGATGCTCAGAATAGCCACACTTAACGTCAACGGGCTACGCAAGGGGGAGAAAAGGGAAAATTTATTCAATCAACTTAAAAAGGGTAATTACGATCTTGTGTGTCTTCAAGAAACTCATACGGTCAGTTCAGATGAGGTCTTGTGGAAAAATCAGTGGGGTGGGGACATTTTGTTTAGCCACGGCCAAAGTGACTCAAGAGGAGTGGCTATTTTGGCGTCAAACAGAAGTGGGATCCAATTCACAAATCCTGATAGAGATAATGAAGGTCGAATTATCCGCTGTGATTTTTCTTGTAGAAATTTAGAGTTTCACTTACTTTGTGTTTACACTCCAAATCCTATGTATGACAGACAAAGGTTTTTTAGTGCTCTTTCCGAGTATGTGAAACAAGACGACGGAAACTGGATCGTTACAGGTGATTTCAATTGTCAAATTGATACGAGAGCTAGCAATGATAAAAGTGTTACAAATCTGAAAAATTTCATTTTAGAAAATGACATGATCGATGTTTGGAAGAAGCTTTATCCAAAAGAACAGGGTTTCACTTGTTTTCATAGAGTTCTGAAAAGAAGTAGCAGAATTGATTATATATTTGTCTCTAGTCAGTTATATACCCTTTTGACAAAAACAAACATTATTTCGACTGGGTTGTCAGATCACCTACTTGTTACTTGCACTTTGAATAATCGCACTATTATTAAGGGTCCTGGCAGATGGATCTGTGACAATAACATTTTTAAAGATGATTCTTGTGTTGACCGAGTTCGGACTTTTTGGAATTATTGGCAAACGCAGAAGGGATCTTTTGATAATCTGTTGATTTGGTGGGATTATGGGAAATGTAAAATTAAAGAAATCCTGAAAGCTTATGGTCTAGAGAAATTCTACAAGGAAAAAGATTATCAAACTAATCTCCAAAATGATCTTACTAAGGAAATGAACCAAAATAACCCAAACACCAAAGTTATAAACGACATCAATCAAAAAATCAAACACTTCGAGCAAAAAAAACTCGAAAAGACGAGAATTAGGTCCCATATCAACAAAATCAATGGAGAGAAAAGTTCGCATTTTTTCAAGTGTTTTGAAAAACAAAGATCGGAAGACAACTCTTTTGATATGTTAGTAGAAGATGACGTAACTTATGATGATTCCTATAAGATGTGTAATCATGTGAACTCTTTTTATAAAAAGTTATACACTAGTGAAGAAGTTGACAGCGACTCACTTAACGCTATATTGAATGAAATTGATGGTTTTGTCTTTGATGAAGAAATAATAGATTCCTTAAATAGCGATTTTGACGATGTTGAAATTCTATGCGCTGTTAAACAAATGAGCAAAGATAAATCACCGGGTATAGATGGATTAACAGCTGAATTTTATAAGTTATTTTGGGACATTCTTCAAAACGATTTCAAAGATGTTATTAACGAATGTAAATCTAAAGGCTGTCTACCCTACTCAATGAATAATGCCCTGATTCGTTTGATCTTTAAAAATAAGGGGGAAAGATGTAATTTAAAAAACTGGAGACCTATTAGTTTGCTTAATGTAGATTACAAAATTATTTCAAAAGTTATCACTAACCGATTAAAACGAATCATGCCTTTCATTATAAGGGAAGATCAATCATGTGGTGTAGCTGGAAGAAATATACAAGACAATCTGATGGTTATTAGAGATGCAATCTATTATGCTAATAATGAACATTTGGAGAGGGCACTCCTCAGTATAGATCAGGAGAAGGCATTTGATAGAATAGAATGGTTTTACATGTTTAGAGTCATGGACAAAATGGGTATCCCACAGCATTTGGTTAATTGGATTCAAATTCTTTACAGCAACCCGTCCAGTTCAGTAATTGTAAATAATTTTATTACGGAGCCTTTTAAAGTGTCTAGGGGTATTCGGCAGGGATGCCCTCTGTCACCCCTGCTGTACACAATTTGTGCCGAAGGTTTGGCCTGTCTTATTAGAAATAATCGTCTGATCAGAGGCTTTCCTCTACCTAACTGTCCGAATGAAACTTTGAAAATTGTCCAACATGCGGATGACACTACCATTTTTGTTTCTGATAATCGCGATTTTGATACTCTGGATAATATTTTTTCGACTTACAGTAGCGGTTCGGGATCGAAAATCAATTTTCAAAAGTCCAATGGCCTTTGGATGGGTAAGTGGAAAAATCGTCAGGATAAACCGGGTGGTTTTAATTGGGTCAATGATCACTTAAAAATTTTAGGCATATATTTCGGTAACGACGACAACACCGACCGGAATTGGGGAAGTCGAGTTGGTAAAATGACCGCTGTTCTTAAAAACTGGAAAAATAGGAATTTAACACTGAAAGGCAAAACAATTGTGGTTAATAGTTACATTGGCGCAAGCCTGTCCTACTACGGCAGTGTTCTCCATTGCCCTGATGATTACATAAATCAAATGGAAAGAATTAAATGGGCCTTTATCTGGGACGGTAAAATTGACAAAATCAACAGGAAAACTATGTGTAGTCCAGCCAGCAAAGGAGGTTTGGGTGTTTTGGATATTAAGGCCAAGTTATGTTCCTTAAAAATTAACGTATTAAAAAGATTTATCAGCGTTTCTGGCAAGTGGAAAGTTTTGTTCGAATATTCTCTCTTTCAGTCAAGTGGTTTTAATAATCTAGGTTGGTATATTTTCAGTAATCACAAGACAGCAGTTAAAGAAACGCAGCCCTTCTATAAAGAGTTGATTAAGGATTTCGACAAAACTGTCAATGTAGATAATACCTTTTCATGTATTAATGAAACCAGGGAACTCCCGCTGTGGGAGAATAATGTCGTCACAGGCGATTGTGAGACTGTTATGAATAGCAGAGTTCTCAAAGGGCAGAACATTTTCTATCTGGGTCAAGTTTTAGAAAACTGTCAAGTAATTTCTTTCAGTAAAGTAGCTCAAATGTGTAACATTTTGCCGATAAACGCTGGAAGAATCGTTGCATGCATCAAGAAAAATGTAAATGAGGATTATATTAACGAATGCAGAGAAGGTCCTGCCAACCATTTCTTGAATTATGTTACCTTGAAGGACAAGAAGGACAAAATAATACAGTTATCTTGTACTAATGTCAAAATGGTATATACTAGTTTAATTCATCGCAACTTGGCTACTCCGAAAGTTCAAAAGGTTTGGGAAAATGTTTTTCACGCAGACAGTTTGGAATGGAAACAAATATGGCTTATTGGAGGGTGTAAATTTCTTGATGAAGACGACAGAGACATCTGGTACAAATTAAAGCATAAAATTCTTCCCACGAAAGATAAATTAAAACGTTTCGGTATATTAGACGATGATAAGTGTTCCCTGTGTAAAGGAGGAAGTGAAACTATAGAGCACCTGTTTATTAATTGTGTAAATCATGTGGACTCTTGGTTGTTTGTTGAAAACATTATTAAGAAGTATACGAATAATCCCAGTTTCTGTTTATCTGATAAAACCCGAATATTAGGACAAGGTATTACAAACCAGTTGTGTTTATTTTTTGTCGGCCGCCTACATAGGGTCATATGGAAAATTAGATGTAGTTTTATTTTTTGGAAGGGAGGCTCTTGCAATGTCCTGGAGGCATACAAAAGTAATTTGAAAAGATTCATAACTCGAGAAAAAGCTAGACTAGAGGATACATTATTTCAGTCGATTTACACTAGAAACGCTGTATTGTGTACCACCCAAGACGGTAAATTAAGATTTTGTTTCTAAGTCTGCAGCTTGAAAATATTTGTCACTTGTGAAATGAATCTGTATAAAAAAATAATAAATGTGATTGTTTATCCCTAAATTTTTAACAGCATCATTCTGTATATATCGAAGACTTAGTTTTGAATTTGTTTAACCAACTTATGTAATTCAGTGTTATTTTATTTAGTTTATGTTGTTACTTTTCAAAAATAGGAAACTTTGGATGTTTTATATAGTAAATTTGTCTTTGTAAGTATGATTTTCCATGATATGTGATGTAAATGTTTGAATGTTATCTGTGTGAAGTAAGTTTCTGAACAGGATATATGATGTAAATGTTTGAATGTTAATTGTGTGATGTATGTATTTTGATGCCGAATGATGTGAATAAATGGAGTCTTAGAACTCCACTCAAACGGAAAAAAAAAAAAAAATAAATAAATAAATAAATAAATAAATAAATAAATAAATAAATCAATAAATAAATCAATAAATAAATCAATAAATAAATCAATAAATAAATCAATAAATAAAAAAAATCTAATGGAAGTTATACTTATAGCTCTGATAATCATATAATACCTTCAACTAAAATAAATAATTCAATTCCAGGCAAAAAAGATTTTCGTTCGTTCTGTCGTTTTACTTGTTGCCATCTTTGTGTCTGTAAACATTTGTATCCCCTCGTGCTGAGCTTGGCAATGATTGGATCTTTATAACTGGTCGTCAAGCTCATTTAAAGGCACTTTCCGAGCGGTTTAAACCCCCTTTCTCCACGAGGATCGTCTGATCGTCTGACGTATCGTGAGGTACGCCTAGGGACAGCTATAGACCTTATGTTTGTAGCAATACGAAAACAAAACGGGAGTTGTGCTTTGATGACGTAAGCACCATTCCCGAATTTAGCAAGGCGCCGAGCAAAAACAGTTAATAACTTCACTAATATACAGTCCGGGTGCTGGACTTGTGACGTTGCACGGGGACACATTTACCAGGGGGGACACATTTAACGTCGTGCAGGGGGACAGGTTTACCTAGGTAAAAGTGTCCCCCCGGACAGATTTACCGGGTCACGACCCGGTAGATCTGTCCGGGGGACACATTTACCAGGGGGGACAGAATTACCTGCCACACCGGCCATCGGCGTAGCAAACAAGAACTGCGTCTAGCCCCTAGACTACGATAAAATATGGGACATCGCAGATTTCTGCGATAAAATGTGCGACATCGCAGATTTCTGCGCAGAAATATTAATGTGTGATGTCCCTTCCAGGGCCACCATAGATGTGCCCCTCCCCCCCCCCCCCCAAAAAAATCTGGATACGCTGCTACACCGACGGAAGATGACTTTAGCGAGCAAGTGCCCCTTTTTGGTGATGCCCCCCCCCCCTTTTTTTAAAACCGTTCCGCCGCCGTTGTGCTGAGCATTAGCTTTCAAGAAGACTTAGGCCTAGGCCTATCTCACCTCAACATTAGGATACCACATGAGCGGTACCAACATAATGGTGATGAACAGAGCCACACGGAACTGGTACAGACCCAGCTCCCCAACGCAGGTCAAGACTTCGTCGAAACGCATCTTTCACCAAGAAAAGTCTTCTGTGGTTCGGTTGTAAGTCCACACCGTGCCAATGCACAATTGTATTTGAGTGGTCGGGCACAACCCGCATTACCAGACCAAGCCCAGTCTATTGTATACTTTGGGGTTATTAGCGCTTTCCGCATATCCGTTGCAACTTCTGACATTACTCAGTGGGTCTGCGGATCTGTGGGTCTATGGGCCCATTGGATTGCACAGCTAAGAGATTGACCAATCAACATTTACTTCTCCAAAGGACCGCCCACTTCAAACAATTGCTGGTTATACTGGGGCCGTGTGCGTATTTTTTTTCCTAGGAGGGTTAGGGGCAATGTCATGAATAATTCAGTTTTTCCTTTGAATCATTGCAAGACTTAGGTTCTCGTTCTATTTTCCCCTTAATTTAAAATTATCTCAGTGATAAATTTGGAGAAGAAAAATAGCTGATGAAAATGAGCAGCGACGACGTGGATTCGAACCAGGGATCTTTGTATCCATAGCTTATCTTGCTCTCCACTTGGCTACTGTGTGGTAGCTCGACGACAACCGTTCTTTAAAATGCTTTAATGTATTGTAACTAGTTGAGTAACTAACAACAATGCTGTTGATGTCATTGTCCGTTCTCATGGATAAACATGAATTATTCATGACATTGCCCCTAACCCTCCTAGGAATCAAAATTACGCGAGCCGCGTACAGTGTACTTCTCTTTACATTCCATGCCAAACTGCTTTGACCCAAGCTGGGACCATACATGGGCGATAATTGGATTATCAGTGCACTGCCATTGCAATATGGTAGAGGCATATATAGAGCAAGGATGGTTGAAGGTGTTCCATAATGTGCATGGAATAGCACTCTAATTATGCACATGAAATTTTACTGTCTGAACTTTATGCCGGATGGAAGCAGAACCCCCCCCCCCCCAAAAAAAAAAATTGTCAAGAAAAAGTAAAATGGCGTCGGCAGATAAATCATACACAAACTTGTGGGAAACATATTGCACAGCTACACTCCTCGCTGCCGGTACGGAAACTGATTGGTCTTAAAATGAAGCATGGTCTATGGAATTGGGCAGAACAACGGGTAAAAATGTGCATAAGGGCAATCACTTGGCAAAAGGACAATGAAATAGGAATGGATTGGCCTAAATTAACTACTGGGGACTGAGGTATTTGCTTTCTCCATGCTTTATCTATGGTTTGAGAACACTGCCACACTTTTATTGTGAATAGATTACACAAGCAGGTGGCAAGACTAAAGTTAACATAAACAATGAATTAGCCACCTAGGCCAAACTGGAGGGAAACTCTCTTTTTTGGATAAACATTGAATTCAACCTGGTTCTTGCCTCAACAGTGCAAATGAAAGTAGAAGTAGCAAGTTTAAAATACTCAGGGAGACATTGACAAAAAAATCAAACTTTAACATCAAATTTCTCCCCATTACATGTACATTTACAAGGAGAAAAGCATTGGATTTTGGAATTTCGAGGGAGTTCTTTGTTTTAATAATCAGAGCTCTTGAAGCCAGACCAAACATCACATCAAATACCACCTGTGATAGTGCCAGCTTTACCAACCGTTATGATAATAAGGTGCATGGAACATATAGGGCATAGTACCAAAAATGAAGGAATTTCATCCCAGCCACCCAATCCCCTTGCCCTTTCCGGATCTAAACTTCAGTGTCTTGCCTAGACTAGTTTTGTTAAGATGACTGAGCATGCTCTGTTGTAACTCCACAATAGCCTTTTCGGAGTTCCAACTGCGCATTCATAACCTGTGGCAACGCGCATTATTTGTCTCAAAAGGCTGTTTGTACATTGTGGGTACTGTCAAAGGGCATTTGAGACAAATAATGTGCGTTGTCACGGGTTACGAATGTGCGCAGTTGGAACTCCGAAAAGGCTTATACATGTACATGTACATGTATGTAACAGGTGTCCATGCATGGTTGTTCATGTAGGATGGATGAGAAATGGATCATTGTTTATTCTGCCTGACTCCGTTACGTAAAAAGTAGTGTACGGTCACTACCTCCTGCACACTAAAGTACATATACTGCTATAGTAGTATAGTGGGCCTACATGGTAAAAGCATATAAGCAAAACTCTACATTTATGAGAACTAAGGGAACTTAAATTTTAAAGGAAAAATACAACATTTGCAAACATCAAAAAATAAAACTACCAAATCATTTTGAAATACCTTCCTGGACTGTTAGTGAATAACAGTGTAAAGCATCCTGTAAAATCATGACACCTGGTATACTGTCATTTTCATATTACTGTCATAATACGTGCATGACAAGTTGTTCTGCGTCTGTAAGATTTGTTTGAAGCATTCGATAATCTCTTATACCAAGGCATCCGAAAGGTATCATGACATAATTCCTTTACTGGCTCTGTGTTCGGTCAGCAAACTCATACATTTTTTTCTCGTTTTATTCAGAATGCAATTATTCACAGCCTGATTTAAATATATAGGCCACGCCCACTAAAGAGTGAAAATAATATGTATTTCCATGTATGAATATATTAACCAGTGTCAAAGTGTCTGTCAAAGCATACAAAAACAAAGGAAATGGACCGCAAAAAACAGGTTTTGTAAGTTTTCATTTTCTGTACCCTTTTTAAACTATAAGCTCCGACCCCGGCACATGTAATGTACATATATTGTTCATATTGAACATAACCTACTTCTTTTGGCAATGACATCTGAGAGAACAGTGTGCTTTATTTTGTTAAAAATGGATTCACAATAGCCAAAAGGCATCGGCAAACATGCCAGGAAAATTTGACAGGATTAATATAATGCGTTGCAATGATATAAGCGAAAATATGCTTGGAGGGGTGGTAGCCCCGCCCCCTTCAAGCTCTTCGCGCCGCTCTTAAGATAATTAGTCAGATCTTAAATTACTCTTAAGTTAAATTTTGTATTCTACAAGAGTCAGGGCACATATAGAAACTGGTTTTACATTTTTCTATATCGATGCGTTGCTACTTTATCAGCGAAAACGAATGGGAGGGGGTTATGGCCACGCCCCCTCCTATACAGGTTTTTCATGTCTGGCGGGCACTTTCCACCACTGAAAATGTCTGGCAGTGGCCATTCGTGATACCTGGGACTAGGCCCAACATTTTCCAGTAGGTTTCATTGGGTTAAATCACCAGCTGATCTAGCTCAATTTTGTGGCCCCTTTCTCATGGCCCTCCTGACCATACCCACCACAGTGTACCCGGCAGACGTCCATTTCCTTACATTGGTATGCATGTGGAACATTGCTGAATACATGAAAATTTGTTAACTTTCCAGCTAGGTTGACACCCCCCCCCCCCCCTGGCTCCCGGTCTATACACCACTGATCGTGGTATCGTGCGAGCAAAATCGTAAAATGTCAGCGAGACAATCACGTCTGAGTCTATTGTCTACTTTTCATGATTGATGGCGAATGGTGCATGACTGTCCTCGCCTTCAGATGTTTGCCGTTAGGCCTACTTAAAACTGTTTTTAAAAGGTGAAATGTGGGAGCTCTTATGGCATGGCGGATATTGTATGTTTTCTATGGACGCTAACAATACATTAAAAATAAAATAAAAAATGAAAGAAAAGGTGAACAGATATTGATGCATTACCCTCATTTTGAAGAAAAAATTTAAAGCGGAGGATAGTTCAATCAAGGCCACGGATCTTGTGAAATGCTAAGCTCTGCAAAATGTCAGAGTTCGAACAATTGTCATGAATGGGAAAGTAAAGGAATTATGTCATGATAACTTTCGGATGCCTTGGTATCAGAGACCATCGAATGCTTCAAACAAATCTTACAGACGCAGAACAACTTGTCATGCACGTAGTATGTAAGATCTTAACCATTTTTTTTTTGATGACAAAAAAATCAACCAGGCTCAGGGGATGTAACCTTGAGTTCAGCCTGGGGGATGAAAATCTGGAGACTTTACAATGGCACTGCCCGGCCGACAAGTGACAGTCAATCAGTAAGTTAGTCAGTGGGTCAAGAGGCAGAGACGACTACAGGCCGGCCATAGTAGTAGCCAAAAAGAGGCTCAGAAAAAACTTGGCTTACAAGTGACAATCAGTGAGTCAGGGGCACAGACGACTACAGGTTGGCCCTCTAGTAGCAGCCAAAAAGAGGCTCAGAAAACTTTATGTGACCTCCCTGGACTCCCATATATTTGCACTTTTTACACAAGTTTAGTCGGGCACCATTTGCAGTCATCAGCCAACATTTGAAGCAAAAAAAAAAGGTAAAAAAAATGCTGCGTCGCCGCACCACTTTTGGGCAAGCTCCATACCAGAAACCGGAGACTTTTTTAGGCCTTAGGCTAGTACCGTTGTACCGGTAAAACGCCGGCACCGGGCTAGTTCTGCCCCATATCCCAGTTCCTAATTGTTTGCTAGGTAGTGACATGGCCTCGACTCTATTCTCATAAACTTGGGTAAGCCTGAGGGGCAAAACAAGCTGTAAAACGATAAGAATGAAGCCCCTGTTATTACAGACAATACTCAATGGCCTTCTGTGCGATAATAACAGTGACACAATCGATAACCCAGTTATTTAGAGGAATTCAAGTTAATCGGAATTCGGAATAATTTAACTTACTTTTTGGTTTCACGGTGTCTCTTTGAAATGGGTTTTTTCTGGTATGCACCTGTGTCATCGTAGCCATGCTCGTTGGCAAAATGAAAAAAAAAACAATTCAATGAAAGATGATGTCTCAAAACCGCCAAACTCACTGGTTTGACTGGAATCCTGCTGCTGCACAATTTTAACGTGTTTTTAGATTGGGTTATGGTCGAGAATAATGTACATGAGGACACCAAAAAAAGCAAAATAGTACCCCACCTAGTCTGTACAATCCAAACTTGAAGAAAAAAAAACACAAAAAAAAGCCGCGTTGCCGCGTCAGTTTGATTCCGAAACTTTGGTCTGACCACCGAATATTTTTGGTTTGTTGCCTTATTCTGGCATCACGTGCTGGCCCAGTTATGTTCTGCGCCGCTCCAATTCGAGAAGGCCAGCATTAGGCCCCCCAAAAAGTCTCCAGTTTCTTGTATGCGCGCGTGTTGCCGTAGCCATGCGCGTCGGCAAAATGAAAAAGGGGTTTTTTTTTCAAAAAAGATGATGTCTCAAAACCG